CAATTTCACTCCACGACCGGTTTTCAATCCGAGGAGGAAATAAATATTTGCGTGCAATTGGATAATTTACGGCGGTAGGTTGCGTGGCGCCACTTTTGTTGCGGTACTTTTCGAGAGGAATACAGAAGATCGTATATTCCTTTCCTCTGATTCGATGGATACGATGGATAATTTAATATTGTGGGAATTTCGATCGATTGCGTTATTGACGTTCTCGAAGATCAATTGTCGAATATCTGTTTCTTTACAGTGTTAGAAATTTGTAATAAATCATGTTATGATATTACGATGAAATGGAATTCATTTGATTCTTAGGTTTTGTAAAAATCGCTTCGACTCACCTGACTGACCATCTTGCTGTCGGGAAAGAAGTTGATAGTCATCGGTTTTGGATTTTTCAGCTCTTGATTCGCTTGAAGCTCTTCATTTTGTCTCCAGAAATAGTCGATGTGAGGCACATCGAACTTGGCCGCGATGCTAGCTACGATCCCATAAGTGTAGGGGCTCGAAGGTCCAAAGATCGCCGCTACACCCTCCTCCAAAAGTTTGCAAGCTGCAAAAGCGTGTTAACCTCCTCCGTAAAATAATACAAATCAGGAAATGCAGGAAGGTTTAGAAGGTTTTGATCGATTTTCTACTCTTACTATTGCTCAAAATCCTTCTTACTACTCCATCGTAGAATCGTGTCATGGAATTGCCGTGATATTTCGAACGAAGATTAATCGATATTCCATTTTTGATGCAGAAAGAATGGTACTCGAGAGGAGGATAATCTTATTATTCGTTTCAATTGGAAGGGGATGGAGGGATGGAGGGAAAAAGAGGAACCGTTTAAATATCGAGTTGCATTGGGGAACAAAGAAGTCCAATTACGCTTTATTATCGCTCCAGCCCTTCGATTTGTTTCTCCCGCGGCAGGATTTAACGCGAAATTTATTGTCGATCGAAGAAGTTCGATGGGAAGAAAACTAGAGACAACGTTGCTCGATGGACTCCATTCGATCGTTTCCTCGCCATTTTCTTTACTTATTAAACGTTAAATTTCCTCGAAATTGATTGTGCGCGTTCAGTCGCTAATTGGTTCATTAGCAATTTTAATTTTCTGGTCGAATGATTTTGCCTCTCGTGCAATTCGAATATTAACTGAAAATTTCCACATTTTCTTCGTTGCGATAGGAATATCGAAAAATATAAATAACGTTTTAGATAGCGAAAGAGAATGTATCGTAGTAACTTCGTATCTATCTATAGAAATACAAAATTTTTATTTGAAAACTGTTTTAAAAATTGTCAGCTGAACTTACTTATATAAATGAAAATTTATCTATGCACATATATAAAAAAATCTACTATAATGAAAAATATATCAATAGAAATATGATGTCAATGTTAGTTTTAAAATTTGTGTGCAAAAATGTATATTGCTTAATATTCATACGAACCAGCGGCGGCAGTTTTGAAGCTGTCAGTGTTAACCTCTACTTGCTTTATACTAGTTTCCACCTTGAACGAGGGTGCGATGTGTTCCGATCTCGTCTCGATCACCGCCTTTTTAAACGCATTCATGTACTCTTCGTCCCCCGCATGAAAGATCGCACCTGGGAACAAAAAAAAAAAAGTGAACAAACGATAGAAAGTTTTACTTACTTTTATTTTGTAGAGAAGTCGAAAAATAATCTGCGCTAGATTTATATTTACGAGAAAGGATTCCATTGGTGATATTATAGCATTAACGGTGGTCATTACGAAATGGACAAGCATAAGATTTTAGAGAAATGAGGTAATTTCATAATAAAATTCGACGTCTAATGTTCCAGAAAACGTCAGCGTTGTTAGTGCGTGGGTTTGCAGTCCGTTGGTATCGTAGTGTGTATAAAATGAGAGTCTTGTTACGTCTCGGAGAGACCTTGTTACGAGGGTTGTTTATAAAGAAAAGGAAGAGAGGCAAAGAAAGAAGCCGGCTGGACATGGAAATGGTTTCGTTTCAATTGCAAAACGTTTTTATGAATTAAATTTTGTTCACTTCGGGGGAAATTTTTAGAATTAGAATTTAACCAATATAATAATAGAACTTTGTAATTTCACAGCTCGATTTCTAGTTTTGTAGCGGGAAGGTATCAGGTATTTGACGATTTCGAGGTTTTCACTCGATGAACGTCAAAAACAATTCAATCAAACAATTCAAAGGCAGAGCGATCGATAAAAATCGAAGAACAATCGAGTTGATCGTTTCGCAAATAGCATACTCCACGGATAGCAAGATATCTGTTCGATCATTAAAAATGTTTCTCTTAATTATCCATTCTGAAATACTTTATCAAATCATGAATTGCAAAAAAAAAAAAAAAAATTGAACAACACATTCTACCTTTGCACGCGAAAAATCTCCAAAATTCCGTGTTTCAGTGGAAAAATAGGAAATCGATCTATGTATCGGCAAGTAACAGGAAGGAAACCACGAAACCGATTTAATGCGAATTAATGGAGCCCCTCTAGCTGCCTGACAGGATAATTTCAAACTTCTGTTTCTTTTATTGTCTTCCTTCCCCTCGCACGTCGTGTGAATTTCTGGTTGAAGAGAGAGATTCCACCGGCGAGAAATTGTCCAATCTCGTCGAACCTTCCGCCTTCGATCGCGATCTCGGCCAATCTTTCCCCTGTATGCTCGAGCGACTTGGAAAGTCATCGTCGTCGTTCGGTGAAACGACGTTGAAACGAGTTGCGAGAAAAACCGATCGCCCTCGTCTTTTCCTCGAATGAGAATTCGTCGCATTCCCACGAGCCGAACGATTCCCCACGTTTCACGTCCACCAAATTTAATTAGACACGTTGACGTTCGCTCGCCCCAGAAGCGAATCGTTGCCCGACCTTTGCCTCGTTTGCAATTTGCGATTGAAATGTAAATGAAGTATGCTTGATTTTATTTGTTTTATTTTATTCTTTTCTTTCGTTTCAAATGAGAGAAAGAGAGAGAGAGAGATTTGGGCTAGATACCGAAGGATTTTAATTATTTTTTGTGCCAATTTTTCGATTCGATCGATCGATATTCATCGTATAATTATATCGATGTAAATTTAAATCTTGATTTCAATCAATTTCAGTAATTCTAAACTTGATGGATAAATTTAAATTTGTAAATTTAAATATTTCAATAATGATAATAACGATTCGATTAAATTTGAAAATTCATAGTGTAGATGGTAGAGTATTAAAAAAGGGGTGGCTTAATTTTGCAATTCTCGTTTGATATCTTTTTAATTAATCGTTTCGAATCGATAAAATTCCAATTCTTTTTCAACAACAAAAGTTCCAACTATTTTTTTCTTCTTCTTTTAGATTAGATAAAATTAGACGTGTAAAATATCAGATTTATTCGTCATTATTCGTTTTTAAAATATGTCTCTGTGAAAATGATGATACGAACAATGTGTATAGTTTCATCGTACACAAGTTCGTGCAATTTTGATTGTCTTACCGTGTAAATCGCATTAAAAAATATCACGCGTCAGCGACTACGGATTAGAACGCGCATCAACGCGGATTTTCACGCGTTAAAAAGTCACGTCGCCTAGTTTCCGCGAAACAATTCAGATAGATGTTCACTTATGCGTCCCCTCTTTTAAAGCAGGGGATTGTAATATCGAATTTTATATCGTGCCGTGACATCGTTCTCTCATCGACGATAGATTCGTTTCCCATAAAATTTTAATTCAAACAAAATACTTTCGACTAATTGTTCGTGTTTTAATTTTTATAAACGAATATAATAATAATAATAATAATAATAACAAAGGAATTTCGAACGAAAGAGAAAGAAAATCAAGCCTGAAATTTGAAAAAAATATTATATAATATTTCTGATAGAATCGTCGTCGTTATTCAATGTTTTAATCCCATATGGAACATATTTATATATATATACACTCGATAAATCTCGTTTCATTAAACATTCCCGATTAAAACGAATTTATTAAGCCCCGTCCTTTGCCCCATTATTTGCTGTTTCGTTACGGTTGTCATGGAATTTCGATTTCACACCGATACGATAACGACGTTAATCGAAGTAACTGCCAAACCCCTCTTCCTCCCCCCTTCGAATGAAAAATCCTCGCAAAAATTTCATCCCTCTCGGCTCAGTGTATCGTATCTCGAAACGTGCTTATTTCCACGTTAATTATTTCCGAATTTTCGCACGAAAATGTTTCGTTGAAAAAAAAAAAAAAAAAAAAAAAA